CCTCTCTCTCTGCTCCCCAATCATGCTTGTGCTCTCTCTCTCTCAAATAAATGTAACCTTTAAAAATGTAACCTTTAAAAAAAAAAATCAATGCTAGGGCTTGCACAGTGAACACATAAACAAAGTGGCCTTCATGCAGAGATGGGGGAAGATGTGGGTTTAACAACAAGTACAGCTCAGCAAGACTGATTTGACTCCTGTTATTGCTGAGTACTCTGCCTGAAAACAGATCAGCCCTGAGCCTGGCTATGGCTCTCTATCTTAGAGCAACTGGTCACCCATTTGGTGGCAAGTTGCTTACATTGGAGTTCCTCTATTGTGGAAAGTTAGTAATTAGGTCTCATTGCTATAAATGTTTACTTTAGATGTGGATTTGAATTTCCCATCCACCATGTTACTGGCAACACTACTATCTGTAACCCTACTAAATACCTTGTTCAGTGAATTTGCATTCCGTACTGCTTTTGAACAAGGGACTCAATTATATCAAAGAAGTGAGGCAGTTGGCTGATGAATCATGGGCTTTGCTGATTTTGCCATGTTTCCTGTTGTATTGCATTATATTCTACCCAGAAGACAAAATTTTGTGAAAGTAGTTTTTAGTTCCATGAACAAAATACATGGGTCTACAAACCAAGTAGTGAAGATCTAAGCATTACCTCTTAACTGCCAATGGCCCACGTTTCCTGCCCCTATAACTCTGAAATCTGCAGATTTAGAGGAATTAGTATGAGAAGAATACTTTCACATGGGAACATGACAATGGTTCAAGTGAATTGGACATTGAGAATTACCTGGCTACATTTTTGAACCATGTGACTGAACCAACAAATGGAAAAAAAATAATAATGAATTTGCTGTGCTGGAAAAGGTGATCAGTTCTAAATATCAGGCGGAAATAGTGTTGCTACTACTACTCATAAGAAGACAGTATCTAAACTCATCAGGCAACCTGGGCTGCCTCCTTGGAGAAGGTTGAAGTGAATGAGTCCATTGTCTAGGAAGGTAAAAATGGCCAAACCGACTCTAGAAGACATAGAAAACCTAAACAGACCCAGTTACCGCCAAGGCAACAATTATTTTGGTACTCCTTAAAAAAACAAACAGGAAAACATTGACCCTGATATTTTCACAGAGATCTCTACCATACCTTAAAGGAACAGGAAACTTTGATTCTATTTAAACTGTTGGAGAGCATGGGGTGGGGGTGGGGGAACTCCCGGATTGTATTTATAGAGCTCACATGAAATTGATATCAACCTCTGATGATGCAGATCCAAAAAAGGAAAATTATAGATTGGTCTACTTGTGTATGAATGCCAAGCAGCTCTTAGTTAAAAAATAATAGATGGATATGTTCTCAACATTATAAAAATATCTCATTTTAAAGTCTACATGGAGAAACTTGAGATAGTCTCATTAAATTCAAAATATGGCGCTGACATATGAATTGATCAGAAGACTTCAGACTAAATGGTTCAGAAGAAATCCTAACACACTTGGAATTTAATATATCTAAAGGTGGTATTTGAGATACATAAGAGAAAGATTACCAAATGAATGATATTGGGACAGGTGGATAGTTATCTGGCAAAAGAGTGAAGTCAAATCCCAATTTTATCTCTCTATTAAAAGAAATTTGGGGGGCTCCTGGGTGGCTCAGTTCATTAAATGTATGCCTTTGGCTCAGGTCATTGTCCTGAGGTCCTGGGATGAAGCCCTTCTCCCTCTGCTCCTCCCCCGGTTCATGGTCTCTCTTGCTTTCTTGAATAAATAAATAAAATATTTAAGAAATTGTTTAAAAAAGAAACTTTAGATATGCTTAAATGAAAACATAAAATAGAGACCATAAAATTATTAGAAATATAGTGGGTTTTCTTTTTTAAAGATTTTATTTATTTTTTTGACAGAGATCACAGGTAGGCAGAGAGGCAGGCAGAGAGAGAGGAAGGGAAGCAGGCTCCCTGCTGAGCAGAGATCCTGTTGCGGGGCTCAATCCCAGGATGCTGGGATCATGACCCGAGCCGAAGGTAGAGGCTTTAATCCACTGAGCCACCCAGGCACCGCTACAGTGGGGTTTTTTTTGGTCGCAAAAGGAAACTATTAAATATGACATAAAACCCAGAAACTATAAAAAATGATAAATCTATAGGTGTGCAAAATGAAAACTGTCAGGAAAAAAAGGATCATAGAGAAAATAGCATAAATAAAAATTAAAGGCAATTACACAGAAAAAAATTTGTAACTCATAAACAAAATTAATTTTCATATTTTAATAGGTTATTAAATACAGTTTTTAATAGGCTATTTAAATAAAGTTAACCTTACTTAAAAGGTTAATTTTCTTTTTTTCTCCTTCCAAGGGTGTGGTGATTTTTATTAAGAATAACTTTGGTTCTAAGAATTCCACCCTCAATTCCATAATGCGGTCATTAAAAAGCAATTACACAAGAGCAAATACAAAAAAAAATACAGTTTTATGAAGAAAGAATTAGTTAATGCTATAAACTGATAGTTCATAGAAAAATAAAAGTATCTCGTAAATATTTCAAAGTTTCTCAGCCTCTCTCATAAAAGGATAAATGTAAATTGAAATTAGCATGAGATACAATATTTCTTCTCTCACATTGTCAAAGGTCAAAAAGTTTGAAAACATTATGGGTATATAAGGGTGTCGGAAAACAGATACCCTGTTCCTGGGGGAGTGTGAATTGGTAGTAATAATTATAAATTGATTACTGACTGTGTGCCATGCACTTGTTAAGCACTTAAATTTGCTGATTTAATCAGCACAATTGCCTTTGGTAGGGAGTACTCTTATTGTCCTCATATTACAGATGAGGAAATAGAAAAACCAAGAAATTGGACAAATAACCCAAAGTCACACAGTTGATAAATGGAAGAGCCAAGACTTAAGATGAATTATTTTAACACTAGCACCCACTTTTGGCAGCTAACAACCCTGAATTGTTTCAACAGCAAGTAATTGGGGAATAGGATAAACTCTCAAGAGAGCATACCCCTTGATTCTGTAATTCTACCTCTAGAAGTTTGTCCTGAAGTTACATGCAAATAGATGCAAAATGACATTCATTGCAGTGAAGGAAGATTGGAAACAACCTAAATATACATCTCCAGGGGACTAATTACATTTTTAAAATTTTTTATGTATTTGACACAGTGTGTACAAGCAGAAGGAGAGGGAGAAGCAGTCTCCCTGCTGAGCAAGGAGCCCAAAGAGGGGCTCAATCCCAGAACCCTGGGATCATGACCTAAGCTGAAGGCAGACACTTAACTGACTGAGCCACCCACATGCCCCTCACGGGACAAATTACTTAAATTGAAGTTCATCCATACAAAAATGCTACTCAGTTTTAAGTACTGGGTAGCTTTCTACTTACTACTTACTAGTTTCACTTACTACTCTACGTAGTAATATGAAATCCTCTCCAAAATACAGTAAAAGGGAAAAAAAGCAACATATAGACTAATGGGTAGGAATGCTACCATCTTTGTAAAAAGCCAAAGAACACATGCATTTTTATATATGCATAGAATATTTCTGGAAGAATTCTTGAAGTGATACCAGTGGTCCACCAGGAGGGAAACTCGGTAATCAAGGAATGAGCTGAAAACAGATTTTGAATTTTGCACTTTGAAAATGTCAGTCTGTACAGAAGACAATGGAGCATGTGATTCTCAAATATAGAATATTTGCACTGAGATCCCTTTGTGAAGAGTATAACCTAGTGCCTCACACAGACTTGGGTGTAGATCCGAACACTGGTTGATCTACTGAGAGGGACAGGGGCTTTGGAGCTCTTCTGGGTCCAGGCAATGTTGCTCCTCCCCAAGCTTTGGTATTAGCTGGAGGTAAGATAAGTTTGTAGAGCTCCCTGTGGTTGGGGCAAGACCCCACTCTTCACACCCCACTTTCCAACCTCAACTGCTGCAAAGCATTCTTTAACTCCCTAAAGCCCTTCAACAGTTGTATTGTCATTCCTCTAAGGCTCTTTCTTTGTACTCTCTAACGCAACACCATCCCTACTGTCCTTAACTTCGGACACTATGTTATTCTGCCCTATGGAATGAATAGTCCATCAGTAGCAAAATCTCCTATATTTTCGATTACTTTCCCCAAATTCCCTTACCTTCTTGCTTTAATAGAGAGACCTAGCTCTCCCAGGAATTTCTAGCTTCCCCTACAGCCCTCAAGTGGTGGCTGTTTTTTCTGTCATACACTTCAGACCACCAGTCCTGGAGCTCTTGTCAATGTCTTGATATCTTTCTTTCTTCTCACTGCTATTTTGAGACCATTTTCTTTCTTCTCTTAAAAAACCTCATTTTGGGGGCGCCTGGGTGGCTCAGTGGGTTAAAGCCTCTGCCTTTGGCTCAGGTAATGATCCCAGGGTCCTGGGATCGAGCCCCACGTCGGGCTCTCTGCTCGGCGGGGAGCCTGCTTCCTCCTCTCTCTCTGCCTGCCTCTCCCCCTACTTGTGATCTCTGCCTGTCAAATAAGTAAAATCTTTAAAAAAACAAAAACAAAAACAAAAAAAACCCTCATTTTCGAAGCTCAGTCCATTAGTCCCCACTAGCTTAGTGCTACTTATTGGGGTCCTGTGCAGACTACTAGTTCTTGCTTCTTACTCCTTGAAGACATTAGTTTCTGTCTCACTGTCATTCTCTACAGCACTACTGCTGCCATAGTTCTGTGTGTTTTTGTAGATGTTCTCTGAGTTTTTAGCTTCTTCTCTTCAAAGATCTTGATCCTACACTTCATTCACCTCCCGTAATCATACTTTTAGAGCAGTGGTTCTCAAAGTATGATCTCAGGACCAACATCATCAGCATCTCCTGGAAAAAATCTCAGACCCTAGATTACTGAATCCAAAAATTTGTGTTTTAAGAAGCCCTTCAGGTGATTCTGATGAATATGGAGTCAATTTTTATTATTTTTATTATTATTTTTATATATTATATATTATATTTATTATTATTTTTATTATTAATACCAGTAAAAGTCTCACTTTGAAGCATCCTACCCTTCATGTGGCTATTGGCCTCTATCTTTCTATTAGCAATAATCGCACCTCGGTTAAACCTCATTGGCTACAATACTGCCACTGTGCAAAGCTAGGCCTCTGTCTTTCTAACTTAATTGATGTAATCTCTCAACTCCTAAAATTTTTCATCTCCTCCACCCCGAGACCACAATTAATTGATTCTACCACTTTTTCATTAGTTCTTAACCCTTTTTGTGTTGTCAGTTTCTCCTTAACCAGCCATAATTTGATTAGTCTTTGACTATTCTCTTTCACATAACACAAGAGTAGACAAATCTTGTCAGCTCTACCTTCAAAATATATCTGGAATCTAGCTTTTCTTATAATCTCCACTTTACTCAATCCAAGCGCAGTCATTTACCACCTGGAGTATTGCCACGGTTCTGACTTTTTTCTGGCACCTACAGCATCTGCTTTCCACACACAGGCTTGGGTGATCCATTTCACATCTTGGGTCATGTTGCCGTGGTGCTCAAAAATCAGCATGCTTCTCCTCTCACTCAGAACAAAAGCCAAAGTCCTTGTAAGTGCTTGTGAGTAATCTCATTTTCCCTGTCCAGGAAGTCATTTCTTCTACTTTGTCCTCCTTCTCTCCCACTGTGAGGTTTCGTTTTATCCTTAGAACTTGTTATCATGTAACATACCTTGAATTCTCTTAGTATTTCTGTCCCCCACCATTAAAATGGAAGCTTCCTGAAGGCAGAAGCTTGCTTGTTCACTGATAGAGCCTCAGCTTCTAGAACCCTGTCTGGCAAATAGTATGCACGCAGTTATTTGTGAATACATGAATGGATGCCACTACTATCTATATAGTTGAAGGCTAACACTACCCTTTTATTCATTCATCAAATATTTGATCATCTATTATATCCCCTGCACTAAGAAGATCAAATACGGGGAGAAGCCCCAGAGTTTCAAGTCTAATATATGAGTACAAATAATAAATAAATATAAAAAGATAATAGTGTAAGAATCAAGATTGCAAAATGTATGGATGTATAAGAACAAATGATGAGAGGGCGGTGACCTAGCTAATGTTGCAAAGCCAAGGAAGCCATATAAGTCTTTCCCAAGGAAGTGATGACTGATTAATTGGACAAAGTGGCCATAGTGGCAGAAAGCATGGGGGGTGGACAGGGCAGAGTAAGTGCAGTGGCGCTATGGGAGAGGGAGCATGGTGTATACAAGGGGCTGAGGAAAGTCCAGAGAGGCTTGGGGAGGGATCCTGAGAGAAGAGAAGTTGGAGACTTACTAATTATATCTCTTTTTTCTACTCAATAATGAACATCTTTAAAAAAAAAAATCTTGCTTTATATGATAGAAATCCCCCTCTGATCTCTAAATAGGTATCAAATTGCTACCTAATTTTTATATACTTAGACTCTAGTTTCATAATCATCAAATTAAGAGCACCCAAAAGGAAAAGATAAATGAGAAAATGAATACATGCTCTGGTGAAAAATTGGCTTTGTTGATTTATGTTTTGAAAGTGCTCAATTTATCAGGATGTCTAAGAAACGGAACATTCTGATTAATTTATTTAGTTGCTATTGTCATTGTAACTGAGGCTTAAGAATAAAATTAATTTGCTTAAATATTTTTAGAAAATCTTGAGCAGTTTTAGCTCTTTCCTGACTAAGGGGATTGTGTTACAAAGGTTGAATGGGACATATAGCATATACTTTTATACATAAATATTTAAGGGCTATAAGCCTTCAACTACGACGTACTTATCCTCATAAGCCCCAAGTGACTGTTTCTTATTTCCAAAAACTATTATTACCTGACAGTCATGATATAGGGAGAGGGGCAAATAAAAGTGGGTTTTCATGATAACGTTTGAGGACTACCATTAGCTACCTAGACCGTTTCCATGCTGGGACTGCCTCTGACCAAGAAATGAAGCAGCCTCTTTCAACAAATACGCCAGGTAAGGTAAACTTAACTTGGATGTTTAATCTGAGTCTTGGCCTGTGAAGTTTAGAACAAGTGTCTTGTCTTTGTTGTGCTTTAATGAGCCCTAGATTTATCTGCTTATTCTCCTGGTTAAGGGCGAATAGTCCTGTCCTTTCTGGCAGTTTTTCACCTGATCCAGAATCATACATTGCATCACTTGTCCTCTCTTTAGCCTCCTTGACTTGGGACCAGGTCCTCAACTTTATTTCACAGTATTGAGGGTTTTAAGTTCTTAAGAGTTTTAGGCAGTTACTTTGAGAATGTCCCCTCAGTCGAGGTCCATTTGAGGGTTGCATCATCGTTTGAGCCACATTACGCACTTTGGGCAGTTACCATAGAAGTGCTGTGTGCTCGGTGCTGTGCATCACGCATCACAGGGTATCACGGGGCTTACGTGTCCATTTGTACATTAAGGTTATGGTCAACTCTGATCACTTGACTAAGGCAGTGTTTGCGAGATGTCCCCATTGTCAATGTCCGCTTCTACCCTCTGTAATGAGAACAATGAAGAGGGACAGAGTTTAAGAATAAGGAAACATTTTGTTCCCCAACTGACTGTCACTGATGGTTGTACCACCCATTGCTGATTCTTGCCTGAATCCATTATTAACGGGTGAAAATAGTGATTTTCTGTCATTCCTTCCATATTTATTGTCATTCTACTATAAGACAGAGTTTTTCCTTCTCCTTGGTAAGATGTAGTCTTTACTCCATTTCATATTGTCCCTGGTTTGGCAGTAAGAGTTCCAAGGTATTGGGTCTTTCATCAGTTCTTTTTTTTAAATATGAATGATATAAAAAATAGTTAATAGAGGCCCACAGAATACAGTGGGAATGAGAAGCCAGAGAGGTGAATTCTGTTGGTGATTAAGGAAGTCTTTAGTGAGGAAGTCATATGGAAGTGAGCTTTAAAAAAAAAACGGCAGAATTTGGAGCGCCTGACTGGCTGAGTGCCTAGAGCGAGCCGACTCTTGATCTCGGGGTTGTGAGTTCCAGCCCTATATTGGGCATGGGGCCTACTTGATGAAAAACAAAACAAAACAAAAAGTAGCAGAATTGTCATAGAAATGGTGGTAAGGTAGAGTGGAAAGAAAAATGGTCTGAGGGATGCCTGGCTGGTTCAATCAGTTAAGCGTCTGCCTTCAGCTCAGGTTGTGATCTCAGGGTCCTGGGATCGAGCCCCTCATTGGGTTTCCTGCTCCCTGCTCCATGGGGAGTCTGCTTCTCTCTCTCCTTCCCATTCATGCCTTCTCTCACTATCTCAGTCACTATCTCTGTCTCAAATAAATAAAATCTTAAAACCTGTCTGAGGAGTGCCTGGCATGTCTGGTATTTGGTAGGTAATTGAGCAGTTTCAGAGCATGATGGGGAAGCAGTAATGGAACAGAGAAACCTCTGCACTTACTGAGTTTCATGCTAGTCTCTGCTTAGAATTTCCTCTCCTGTCCCACTGCTGCTCCTGCTGTCTGGCTGAAGGGGCTAAGATAAGGCGTGTGAGGAAGGAAGGAGGGAATTCTAAGTAGTGAAAACCACAAGAGATGAAAGCCCCACTCACATACTCCCTTTTCCTGATCCCTAGTGAGAATTAACCAGTCTCTTCTCACACTCCCGGGGTGATCGGCGCCTCCATTTTGTGCTGTTTCTACGTGTGGGATACATCTTCCTCCTTTAAAGCACAAACCGTGTGTTAACCGCTTTGCTCCGGTACTTAGTGCAAATGCTCAGTCCATGTTTCTGGAATCTATGTGAGAGAGGAAGAGGGGAGGCCAGGTTGCAGTTGGCTGGGGAAAGACTCTGAGTGTCATTTTGAGGGGTTCAGGCTTGGCCACAGGCAGTGGGGAGCCCTGGCAGCTCTCTGCTGGTGCGGGCCTGATGGAGGCGTGATGCAGAGGTCATGGAAGGGGGAGGAGAGCGAGATGCCCAAATGCCTGGCAGGAGCCCCGCAGGAGCCAGAGCACGACGGCCAAGAGGGACAGAAGGCACCGAAACAGAATTACCATCTCATGAACGTGGGCACTTCGTTCGAATGGAGGGATTGGAAGGAAAAAAGGAACAGAGCAAGGTTTTGAGATTTTTAAGACTGGGTGGTAAGGAGACTGCCAGAGGCCAGTTAGCAAACGAACAAGCACAGGGACAATGACAGAGACTATAGGCAGTTCAGCCTGGCCCTATCTTTTTCTCATCGAGTACAGGGATCCCCCTGAATTCAAAACCTTGTGTCCTGTTGAAGGATGGTATAATATCAAATATGATGAGAAATGAAATATTGTCTCAGCTGGAGGCACAAGAACCGATGTTGGTGTTATGGACGTTTTCCATGAGGCTTTAGGGATGGTTTTATTAAAAGCAGATGCTAGTAACTTTTTTTTTTTTTTTTTTTTAACCTTGAACTGTGGCCCTGTGACAGCAGCTTACCTTGTAAGAAATGGTCGTTAGCGTTCTTTTGGCTCCTCTGTCCCGCCTGCACCTTCCTAACAGAAAATTTGCTTTGCACCTGCTCCAACTGGGTTCTAAGTGATAAGCATCTTGCAAGCCCAGAAAATTGTAGTATCAAATCTCATCCCCAACTGTGAGGCAGCACTCTCATCGAATCCCCGCTGAGAGGCTTTCTTTCCCAGTTCCCCAAGGAAGAGTCCTTTCTCCCCTGGCTCCTTTTCAGGGTTGAACTTTGACCTAAGCCTCTTTTCAGCTTCCAGCATGCATTGCTCTGGGCACTCGCCCTGACCCAGCCCTGTGTACTCTGCCCCACCCTGCGCTCATCCACGGGTCAGGCCTGGGGAGCCCTGGGGTCACTGGGGAGCCCAATTCTAATAATGAACATATTTATCTCAGGAGAGGAAGTAAACCTTTCTGTTCTTTGCAGCTTATTGCCCCCCCCCAATAAATGCTGATGGAACATTTGATATATTATCTATGATTTGGTAAATATACATGAGCTTTGCTTAATAATACAAAGTTGCTTTCATCCACATTTTCCTTCATAAATGTAATGCTTTGTTATAATTCATGATTTAAGAAGAATATACCTATTTAACTGCTAGGAAAACAAATGTTTTAAAATACTGCCATGTTTGGGAAAACTCATAAGAATTTCAAATAAAAACAGCAAATACTAC